CAAAGATATTCGATTTTCTCTTGTCTCAATTATAGTATTAACAGTGCAATATTCATGCCACGTAAATTGCGTATAATTTGATTACTTGAACAAAATATCTTAATTAATCACATGATGCCTCAGTGACAGTTTCTTGATGATTGACAGCGAAAGCAAGGAAAATGAATATTTAATTAGCTACTGTAAAGCTGTCTCTACTCGAGCAAGGGAAGTACTAACGTTTTTTTTTTAACGTTTGAGAGAGGCGCTGAAAACGTTGGCAGTGCGTTGTGCTATTTTGCGTCATCGTCTGAAGTCCAGCCGTCCAAACCTGAAGCCAATTCCTAAATTCGTTACTAGAGGCCCATCTCATGTGCTTGTTTATTTTCAGAGAGGAGGTCTAGTTATCCCAATATTTTGCAAAGAAAATGCAATTAATACATTTTTAGATCATTCTGCATCCATGCATTTGATACATTTCTAGATTATTCTGCATCCAGAGATTTAAAAAAAAAAAAAAATTAAAAAGAACACGGGAACATTTTTCGTTTTTGTTCGAGTCGGTAGAAGTATTTGTAATCTTTTCCTCTCAAACACACGATTTTGCAACTAATTTCTTCGATTTAGTTGATTGTTAATATCGTCTGTGTACATATAGTTTGAACAGTGATGAACATTATGAATTTTTATTAAGAAGTTGTTAATGAAAAATTAAGTTCAATAAACATGCTCAATACAAAAGCCTAGAATGTTATATTATGATATGATGACAATATACCGATAATAGGTAAAGAACAATAACATTGAAAATTATATGCTGAGTAATTGATGATAAGATGATGGCGATGATAAATGTGAATAATTGGTAAAGAAGAATAGTGAATATATAAGGAAGGAAAGGTAGAAGAAGATAAGAGAAGGGAGGGATATAAGAAACTAAGGCCAGCGAGAGGAAGAAAAACGAAGGCTGGAACATGAATCTAGAGTGAAATAATAGGTTTAGAAGAGGAAAAGAAGCAAAGGAAATGAAAAAGTAGGAGAAGACAAACGCGAAAAGGAAACAGAGTCAGGTAAGAAAGGAAGAAAAGTTAAAAGAGAAAAGAAGTAGGAAATGGGAAAGGGCGGAAAAGAGAATGGATAAGGAAAATAATTGAGAGGAGGAAGAGAGGGAACACACACTCACGTACAGAAAGAAGAAAGAAGAAAAGAAGAAGAAGAAACTCCGAGGCTATTGGATTTAACCAGCTACCTGCTATTGTGAAAGTAAGACAGCAACAATTGAAGGACAGTTTAATTTATTTTTATATTCCTGAACCCACAGTACACTTATAAACACCCACATACACACTTTTACAACACACACACACAACACACACACACCCACACACCACACACACAACACACACACACCACACACACCACACACACACACACTCACAACACACACAACACATACACACAAACCACACACACGCACACGCAACGCACACACACACAACACACACACACACACACACACACACACACATACACGCCTAATAGTTAAATAAATGTTAACTAAAACATTTTAAATACTTCAAAGTTTTCGAGTAAACAGTTTTCAATAACCAAAAGCCCGGGACAAGTATTGCTTCATTTCAGTTAAAGTTTTCTCTGTTCTGACAAGTTTCAAAGAAGTCGATAAATATTCTGATAACGACGTACCGGTGTGTTAAATGTAACTGCATTCATGTATATAAGCAAAAACATCTATAGACCTGCCAACGAGTGTGTGTGTGTGGTGTGTGTGTGTGGTGTGTGTGTGTCAATACGCAAGTTTGTATGTGTGAATGCTTACTCTTTCAAAAAAGAAGAAGGAATATCTATCTATTTATCTATCTATCTGTCTATCTCTCTCTCTCATTTTTTTCTCTTAGGTCTCCGGTATCTTCTCTGACTCATCTCTTATTTCAACCCATTTCAAATGTTTACATGACTCCGACTCTTTTGTTAATGCTCGTGTTAAGTATGTGACTTTGAAGTACAAAAACTTTCACTCGTAACATCTATGCTTGGGTAAACAAGTATTACGTGTTTTTCTCATCTGATCTCTGTCATTTTGTATTTTGAACAACCCCTTAACTGTATTTTTGAAACAGATTATAGTGTATGTACATATTTCTGTATCTATTAAACTTATATAGAGAGGCAAGTTATCTAAGTGCAGATAGGAAAGTGCGCGGTTAAAGCTGTCTCTACTCGAGCAAGGGAAGTACTAACGTTTTTTTTTTTTTTTTTTTTTTTTTTTTTAACGTTTGAGAGAGGCGCTGAAAACGTTGGCAGTGCGTTGTGCTATTTTGCGTCATCGTCTGAAGTCCAGCCGTCCAAACCTGAAGCCAATTCCTAAATTCGTTACTAGAGGCCCATCTCATGTGCTTGTTTATTTTCAGTGAGGAGGTCTAGTTATCCCAATATTTTGCAAAGAAAATGCAATTAATACATTTCTAGATCATTCTGCATCCATGCATTTGATACATTTCTA